ATTAAGTATCAGTGTAAAGTTCTGTTTTATATTTTATACTGCTTTACACACTTTACTTTCAGAGGGTCTTCTAAAGCCCTCCTATAATATGAAAGCATCTTATGATTAAGGGTAGCTACTTGATGTCTACCATTATACCTAAACATAATAGTGGTAAGGGCTGACTTCCAGAATGCCTGATTTCATGAAAGACACTTTATTTAAATATATTAAAATGTTGTAAAATTCAGTGAAAATATGTAGAAAATGGCTTATGCTTGCTTCTCAACTGAAGCTGAATGAGGGAAATAAAGGAGAGGTACTGACATTAGCAGGAATGGTGGACAAAGAAGACAAAACCACCAGTTCAGAAAAGATTATCATTTAAATCACATTTTTAAAAGATATATACATATTTTTATTTGTAGGAGCCAACAAGTTAATTTTATTTTTATACGGTGCTGAGGATTGAACCTCAGAAGTGCTAGGTTCTTGCTCTACCACTGAGTCACGAACCCAGCCCTAAATCACACTTTTTAATAAAAATTATATAATTGAGACTTCTGGGATTTTTTTTCCTTGCAAATATTATTAGATGTAAAGCAAAGACACTATATTACACTAAGGTTACTCACTAGACCTTGTCTGTGTTGTAATGTGGGATGGAGATGCTGTGAAATCTCAAACATTACAAGTTTTAAATCTCAATAGCTGGCTACAAAGTCAATATTTTAATGAAATTTTTAAAATAGCAAATGCATTCTTTCAACTAGAATTATGAGGGTGTTTTTAAAAAAAATTGCCACCTAGGTTTATTGACTGCTTACTATTTTAAAAATTATTTATATGCTACTTTTTAATATAAATCATTCAGGTTTTAAGCTGTTCTTGTTTTGTATGAAGGGGTTATTATCAAGGATTGAACCCTAGGATACTTAATCACTAAGCTACATCTCCAGCGCCCCCCCCCCTTTTTTTGAGGAAGGGTCTTGATAACTTGCTTAGGACCTCGCCTCACTAAGTTGCTAGGGTAGCTTTGAACTCATGATCCTCCTGTGATTATGGGTGGGGGTGCCCCTATCTTGTTCAAAAAAATTTTATGATGAATCTGAAAAAGTGAAATACATCTTTTACAAAGAAAGCAGCAGATCAAAAATGAGCCAGCTTCACAGATCATGTACAGAAGCAATTAGCTATAAAGTTTGTAAGACCAAGGGTATACAGCTCAACAATAGAGCATATATGGATTCCAGTTGCAGGACCATAAAAGCAAGCTTTTTGTTTTAGGCTATCTTTTAAGATTAAATAATGAACTTTATGAGATTTGAGAAGTTAGGAGCTAACAAATGAAGCTGTTAATTTGATATCCAAGGTCTATTACGTTTTCCTACCCTAAATCCTATTGCCTAACAGTTCATTTTGTCAAAAGGTATACTTTCCCACCCCATTCATTACTGAAAAATAAGGATATTCATGTCGAGGGTATACTTCATGTTTAACACGTGCAAGGCACTAAAAGTTCAATCTCCAAGACAACAAGAAAAAAAGATTTTCTTCTTGGTGTGGAATCTTAGGATTTTACATTCACCTTCTAAAAATTATACATTACATTATTTTCAAATGAAACAGCCTCTTAAAACTTAAAGAAAAATCACAAGTTATTCCAACTTACATTTTTGCAACTTCTTTAACAACATCACGGCAGGTCATTTCTTTCATCTACAAAAACACAGTATACATTCGTGAGATAGATTCTTGGATCTAAAACCAAATAAGATAACTTAAAATCCAAAAAGAAAAGACTATAAAGTTTTCTGATTCACAATTTTAATATTTTTCAATTAACATAACAAATATAGATATTCTAGATAACCACTAGTTTTATGTTAAATTTTTTAAAATTTAGAAGCCTCTATCAATTCATTTATAAGTAGACCCAGAAGTTTAAAAAACTGGAGGGAGAAAAAATCTTGAGTTTGTTTTCACCCAATTTACTTAATAAAATGCCAAAAATCATACTAGATAGTAGGTACCTACAAAACAGAAAGAACAAAAGAAATTGTTCTTAAGGGATATCAGGGAAGCTTTCAGAAACTATCAGGAGGATTTAAGCAGGTTCTTGGAGCACAAATTGGATTTGGTTTGATTGCGGGAAGACAAATGTTAATCCACAAAGCAAAAGAGGGAAGCCAAAAAGTTCATTCATATGTGTTTTTTTCAGTTAATATTTGAAAATCAGAGTAGGAAAAAAAAACTATTTAGTGGTCAGAGAGCAATGTATACACTATGCAGATGCAACTCAAAGATTTAATCACAGTGTTTGAGCATACTAGCATTCATATTTTGGATATTTCAGAAGGATGGAAAATTGTGAAAAATACACAACACTTTTACATTGGTCCAGACTCAAGTGTGATTCAACTACTACTGTCATTAAATCGGGTTCATTTAATTTATTTTTATTTTAATTTAGAAATCCCGATGCTCAAGTTGTGTCTATAGGACGACATGAGGAAGTAAAAACTATAACATTAAGAACACTAATCTTAGGAAACAGACAAATCCTATCACAGAAAAAAAAGGCAACTGAGATGAACTCTTCAAAATATGCATGGTTTGGAGACTTGAGAGATCTAAGGAACAAATTCATTATGAATCTTTACAATATGGATTTAAAATCATTTACAAAAGACCTTGAGATTATTGAGGCAATGCATGTTAAATTAGGGGTGAAAGAAAACTAATTTTCATATTTTTACCCTTAAAGGTTAAGTTCTATAGTTGGTGAATTAATTGCATCCTGCACAGGCAAACTTAAGTATAAATTGGAAAAACACATTTTAAATAGAAAATATGTTTTTATATGTTCACAAAATATTTTTTTGTAAATAGCTCATCAGAGGTAAAACAGGCTATAGAATTGACGTACAGCAAGAGGTGACAAAAAATTCTTTCAGTAAAGGACCAAACAATACTTTTACTAAAAGTAGCCATAGACTGTGCCTGTATTCCAATAAAATTTACTTAAGAAATCAGGCAGTGGGCCAGTTTTCAGACCCTAATTTAGTAGTACATGACTTTAAAGTATGTGTTCCTCAAATGAAGTGATTGTTCTAAATTTTTATCTGGGATTTGTTGTTTTCCCATTTGTTACTTTGGCTTAACCACAGACAAAATAAATTGCTGACTATTCTTATACTCTTTTTTGTGGGGGGAAGGGGTTGCACTACTGGGGATTTATCCCAGGAGTGCTCAAAACCCTGAGACACATCCTCAGCCCTTTTTATTCCAAGAAAGAGCCTAAGTTGCTAGGCATTAGCGTGCCCCATTGCACCCATACAGAACACAGAACACTCTGGAGAGATGTAAACAAACTGGTTTACTCTTAGACCAACTTATTATGTGCCCTAGGCAGTGTGTTATCCTGGGGTTGGGCTTTAGGCTAAGTAGTGTCCCTAGGTCCTTTTCTCAACTAAAATACCAAACATGAATCAGATTTCTAGAATTTGACATTAAACAAATGCTAAACACTAACAAGTGTTTTCTAGAATTGGGCCTTAAGTAAGCTGAATGAGTAAGGTTGTAGTTTAGCATTCATACTGAGTGTACCTGAAAATCTCTATAAAACTGAAACTCTGATAGGTCATATCCTTGTCTTTTAGGCAAAGATCTGATAAGCAAAAAGACTTTATGGCTCCTATTTCAACATAAAGTTAACTGATTTATAGCTAAAACAAATATTTTTAAATAAACTTTTCATACTAATAGCTGAATTTCTGGCTTATGAGAAAATAGAAAGTACGTAATTTTAACAGGAAAGGCTTCATGCCTTGTCTAGCTAGGAACAAAGAAAGAAGCAGTAGAGTACAGCCACTTTAATAGAAGACTTGTAAGACATAAAAGCTATGTCCCAAAGAAAGAAATGATATAGGAAGAAATATATGTTTTTTATTGCAGTTCTGTGGCATTAACTCATAAATTTTACACCACTAGAATTTTCAAGTTCTAGGGATCCATGAACATGGACTTTGAACCATTATATTAAAAAACTATTTTGGATGAGAGGAATAGATGAATTCTAGATAGGGCAGAGGGGTGGGAGGGAAAAGGGTAGGGCAAGGTGATTAGCAAGGATGGTAGAATGTGATAGATACCATTATCCAAAGTACATGTATGAAGACATGAATTGATGTCAACATACTTTATATACAACCAGAGATATGAAAAATTGTACTGTATACATGTAATAAGAATTGTAATGCATTCCGCTGTCATTTTTTTTAATCAATTAAAAAAAAGAACTATTTTGGATTATTTTGAATTAAGCAGTCATCAAATCACAAAAGGATCCATGAGGCAATTCAGATAACATGTTACCAGCTTTCCTATTCAACTGCATAGCAACTTCACAAGGCTCTGCTTTTAATATCAAGCTATACTATTTCCTTGGATTAAGGTTTAGTTTGGAGAGATAAATTTTACTTCTAGCAGAATTCAAATGTTAAATATGTGTTACCTGAAGTTTTTCTATTTCTGTCTTTGCAGCTTGCCTGGCTTTGCCAATGGCGCAGCCCCAATAACCCTATTTTTAAAAAAGGAAAAAACATTTAATCGTTTAATTAGTATACTATCCATTTCAATAATCACTACTGTTTCTACTTAAAAACTAATAAAAGGACGTTAATACCTTAAAAGCAAATGTGGACAAAGATATGCAACATTCTCCTGAATATTACAGTGCTCAAAAAATTTCAAATACCAAATCCTTCCCTACATGCCTTTTTTTGTGATGCTGGGGATCAAAACCAGGCTTTGCACGTGCTAGGCAAGTGTTCTACTACTGACCTCCAGTTCTGTATTCAGTTGGAGTTTTTTTTGTTGTTGTTTTTGTTTGGTGCTGGGGATTGAACCCAGGGCCTTGTGCATGCAAGGCAAGAACTCTACCAACTGAGGTATGTCCCCAGCCCCTGTATTCAGTTTTAAGACACTGCTAATATACTAATGAAAGAATCACATTTTAAATTTACTGTGTATTTTCTCTAGCATATGGAAAGCCATAGGTTTTTCCTCTGCCTCATATGCATAGGTTATTATTAATGATAAAAAAGAAATAATTCCTTGAATGAGCTTTTTTTTTATTTTTAAAGAGAGAGAGGGAGAGAGAACTTTAATATTTATTTTTTAGTTTTCGGCGGACACAACATCTTTGTTTGTATATGGTGCTGAGGATCGAACCCGGGCCGTACGCATGCCAGGTGAGCGCGCTACCGCTTGAGCCACATCCCCAGCCCAACCTTGAATGAGTTTTAAAGAAACTAAGGAAATACTACAGTAGAATTTTAAATGATTCAAGATTACTCACATATGAAACACCTGATGGGTCAATCATGTAGAGCTGTGCACCATCATTCACACTGTAAGATCCTAACATGAAACTGCATTTAAAAAATCATTTTAAAAAGTCATTCTTAATACCATAAAAATAATTCTTAAAAACTTGCAGTGATGTAAGTACAATTATAATTCTATAATAAATTATTAATATACATAAAATTCATAGTAACTTCCTTTGGTATGTTGGGTTCCAAATTAGTAAAATCTAGTATATACTAGAGATTCTCATGTGGGTTTTTTAATTTGTATTAAACTTTCCGGTGAAACTATCTTGGCAAGATAGTAGAAAAAAGTAATTATCAGTGAAAAATAGAACTACAGAGAAGGTCTTAGAAAGCATCAACACTCAAAAGTCATGGGAATAAAATTCCTGACTGAAAATCAACGTTTCAATGCAACTTTTTCCATCTTTCATTTCCCAATATTTCTCCACTTTTCTGCAATAATCAGAAATGGCTGTTTTATATGCTCAACAAACTGAAATTAGGCTATTAAATGATCATATGAATTACTGATTTCTGACATTGTGATGTATTTTCTTTAGAGGTTACTAATCTCATCTTACCTCTTACATTACATGCAGTTAATCTTTAACAGCAAACTATCCATTTCTCACCCTTTCCATCATTTCCTTCCATCCTCTACACTACTATGACTTATCTTTCAGAATATATATCCAATTGTCATTATTTTAAAACCCATCAACATTTCCTTCATTAGAACTCCTTGCCATGGAGCACAACTTCTGTAGGACTGGCCCTTCCAGCACCTGCTGTATCATCTCTAAAACCTTCTCTTAATCTGAAATGACCATGTAGTTTTACACTTTCATACAAATTCTTTTTCATCAAATACTCTTCTCCTATTCCCCCTATTTCTCATACCCCTTTCTTTGCCACCTCTCCAGAAAAAGGCATTTGTTTCCCCACTACACCTAATACATATTTAAGGCCACTTTACCTGTAAGGTGTTTCATCTATGTCCCTACTTCCTTGACTGACTCCTAGCACCCTCCCCCCACCAAAAAGAAAGAAGTGTTTCTAATTCAGCTATTGTTCTGAAAAGAAAAGGAAGAAGAGAGAATACATATTCTTATTCCCTTAAAAACCTCAGAAAAGGCTGGGCACAATGGTGCACGCCTGTAATCCCAGCGGCTCGGGATGCTGAGGCAAGAAAATTTTGAGTTCAAAGCCAGCCTCAGCAAGAACAAGGCACTAAGCAACTCAGTGAGACCCTGTCTCTAAATAAAATACAAAACAGGGATGGGGCTGGGGCTCAGTGGTCTAGTGTCCCGGAGTTCAATCCCCAGTACTCACCTACCACCCCCAAAAAACATAGAAAAGTAACTGATGAACTAAGAGCTCAGTTGAAAGATTAAAAATGAAAAGTATTTTATACAAAGTATTTCAGAGTAATCAAGAGAGAATTAACCAGTGTTAACAAGTTACCCACCATGTCTAACCTATTGCCAGTGGAACAAAAGTCTCCAATTTGTCTTCCTAAGTAATTTAAACATGGATGCTTATGAATAACTCAATGGTAGGATTATAACTAAGCACTAAGATCTCAATGTTTTATTTTGATCAAGCATGACTTTTAACAAAAATGTTATTAACTAACAGTGTTCTTTCATTTCAGGAAAATGTAGTTTACTAGATGACAACCATATCTGAATATTTACACATATTCCAGATCTTGGCAATAGAATCCCCACTTTGCTCAAAAGTAAACATACTAGCACTTTATCTTAACAGAAATAGACACTGTGCCTAATAAAAATTATAAAACAAAACTTGTATGGATTCATTACAGACTGTAAACTCCATTTAAAAGCATTTTATCTAAGTGTTTAAAGTATATCTGATAGTCATTAATGAGAAAACCAAAGTATAATTAGCTATCTAATGTCAATGTGGAATATATTTAAAATCGCTATACAATTTCTGAGAACATAAAAGCCTCAGCACCTGAGCATTTATTAATCAGTTATGAGTTTATTATTATGACCTCAAATCTCCTGATCCCTTTCATTATTCAAATAGTTTTTATGTATACTTTTAATATCAGCCCTAATACTTCTTGGTAACAATTTATAATCTGAAATGTATAAAAGGCCAACCTGCAGAAAATTGATATCTTAGTACAGATCTAACTTTTTTTTAAATTATTATTGGTTGTTCAAAACACTACAAAGCTCTTGATATATCATATTTCATACATTTGATTCAAGTGGGTTATGAACTCCAATTTTTACCCCGTATACAGATTGCAGAATCACATCGGTTACACATCCAAGTTTTTACATAGTGCCATACTAGTGACAATTGTATTCTGCTGCCTTTCCTATCCTCTACTATCCCCCCTCCCCTCCCCTCCCCTCCCTTCCCATCTTCTCTCTCTACCCCATCTACTGTAATTCATTTCTCTCCCTTGTTTTTTTTTTCCCCTTTCCCCTCACTTCCTCTTATATGTAATTTTGTTTAACAATGAGGGTCTCCTTCCATTTTTCCATGCAATTTCCCTTCTCTCTCCCTTTCCCTCCCACCTCTCATCCCTGTTTAATGTTAATCTTTTCTCATGCTCTTCCTCTCTGCTCTGTTCTTAGTTGCTCTCCTTATATCAAAGAAGACATTTGGCAGTTGTTTTTTAGGAATTGGCTAGCTTCACTTAGCATAATCTGCTCTAATGCCATCCATTTCCCTGCAAATGCCATGATTTTGTCAATTTTTAGTGCTGAGTAATACTCCATTGTGTATAAATGCCACATTTTTTTTTTATCCATTCATCTATTGAAGGGCATCTAGGTTGGTTCCACAGTCTAGCTATTGTGAATTGTGCTACTATGAACATCGATGTAGCAGTATCCCTATAGTATGCTCTTTTAAGGTCTTCAAGGAATAGTCCAAGAAGGGGCAAGTTTTTTCTCAGCAATAGAAACAATAAGAGAGGTAAACAGGGAGCCTACATCCTGGGAACAATTTTTTACTCTTCACACTTCAGATAGAGCCCTAATATCCAGAGTATACAAAGAACTCAAAAAATTACACAACAAGAAAACAAATAACCCACCCAATCAACAAATGGGCCAAAGACCTGAACAGACACTTCTCAGAGAAGGACATACACTCAATCAACAAGTACATGAAAAAATGCTCACCATCTCTAGCAGTCAGAGAAATGCAAAATCAAAACCACCCTAAGATACCATCTCACTTCAGTAAGATTGGCAGATCTGACTTTTGATAATCTCACAAATTTCATACCTGCAGCCAAAAGGTCTAACAGCACTGTAGAGTGTGTAAGCATGTACATACATAGCCACTCTGTCTGCAAGATGCTGAGGAGGAAAAAAGAAAACCTTATTAATACATTTCTTTTACTGTTCAAAAGGTTCCTCAATATGTTACCAACTTACTTTTAGTGGAATGTTGTAGCCAAAATTAGATCTAAAGTTGGAAGCCTCTTCTCTTGCTATGTCTGCTAAAGAACGAGCATCTGCCAACAAACCTGCTACAGCCTGAGGGGAAACAAAGTACCAATTTAATAAACACATTCCTATCACAAATCAAAAAGTACAGTTATTTATAGGTTTACATAATAGTGCTTTAACAAGCATCATTTGAAATACGTTTGGGCTTTAGATCTTTATGGGGCACTTTGATGCTTGGAATTACATTTGGAATTTTTTTTTTTTAAAGAGAGAATTTTTAATATTTATTTTTTTAGTTTTCGGCGGACACAACATTTTTGTTTGTATGTGGTGCTGAGGATTGAACCCAGGCCGTACGCATGCCAGGTGAGCACGCTACCGCTTGAGCCACATCCCGAGCCCTACATTTGGAAATTTACTAAGTATAACTTCAAGTTGCTGTGAAAAAAGTACTATGAAAAATCAATAAGGACCATGAAATGAGGGTGATAGCATCCAATGATTCCAAACTATATACAGTTGTTTAGTTTTGGTTATTTATTTGGTATTGCAGAATGAACCCAGTGGTGCTTTAAGACTGAATTAGCCTTTTTCTTTTTTTTTTTTAGTTGTAGAGGGACACACAATATCTTTGTTTATTAATTTATTTTTTATATGGTGCTGAGGATAGAACCAATGCCCCACACATGCTAGGCAAGCACTCTGCCACTAAGCTTTGGTCCCAGCCCCTGAATTAGTGTTTTTTATTTTTGAGACAGGATCTTACTAAGTTACTTAAGGCCTCCCTAAATTGCTGAGGCTGGTCTTAAACATGCAGTCTTCTCCTCTGGCCTGCCCAGTCACTGGGATTACATGCATTTGCCACCATACACAGTGAAATGTATTTTTTTTTAAATAAAATAAAAATCATATTTTCTTAAAAATATCTTCTTTGCATTTTTCCCCCTTAACAACTACTATGTTTTTAGGACATATACTAAGTTGTTTGGACTTAAATATTACTTTTTAGCTAGTGAAGCCATGGAAAACAAATCACTGAGACATTTAAAGTGCCATCAACCAACAAAGTTTGGAAACTACTAGCTTAGATTCACAGAATTGAAAAGTGACATCAGGATCTTTAACATCCTTTTGTTTTACTGCAACCTAATAAATTGGTAAATTCCTAACATATTGAGCACTTATTACAAAACAGTAGTACTTTGCAGAGGAGGAAATAAGTATTTAGAATAACTTCTCCAAGGTTATCACATTTTATTATAGTTCAATCAGTTATTTCAAAAATTTTATCATTTAAAAAATCTTCTGTTGCTTTGAAGAAAACTTTCTATGAAGTCTAATACTCTCAAATTACTTTGAAGAAGACCTCTTTTGTCTAACCTCCTTCACGGTCCAAATTTTTGCCAATATCCTTTTATAAAAAATGCTGTTAGCTTCCTAGCTTCACCTAACAAATGGGACAAATTTAAAATTTTTTTCTATCACCAAAGTTTCCCCAAAAAAATATACTTGAACTTTTTCTACTAAATAAAAGAATACATAATGCACACCCTACCAGCTAAGGTATAATCTGACAAATTTTATCAGAACACTTCAGTTTCACTGACAATAATAAATCTGTTCAGAAGAGAAACAGCATTCAGAAAAAAATCATCTTTGAAGAAGAAAAAAAAATTAGCCTTATGTTTGCTGGTTTTATTTTGCCAAACCTTTTGTGTGTGTGCACACTCAACACTACATCTCAATTCAGGAATACCAAAGTTATCAGCAAAAGAAATGAGTTTTATAATGTGTCACTGCAGAATAGGCTCTGGAGTAATAGACCCAAATTTGAATCGCAATTTTTCTCCACAAGCAGCATATCTGTTTTCTCATCTGTATACCTTAGCTAGATTGTTGAGACTGAGATAATTTATGTATCTAGCACACATGTATTCTCTCTTCTTCCTTTTCTTTTCAGAACAGTAGCTAAATTAGAAACACTTCTTTCTTTTTGTTGGGGGGAGGGTGATAGTTCTTACTGGAAAAAATCTGACATGTAACTAGGATGACATCAATACATACTGATAGTATATTTATGGCTTGGCTTGAACTTGTGCACTGCAGTACTTCAGAAGGCTTAGATACCAGCTGTAGGTAGTAACTTACAGTGATGCCCATGAAGCCATTAAAAAGGATGTGTTCACTTGTCTTTTTTTAAACATCTTTTCCTAGTGCTCCACCTTCCTATTTTCTCTGACACCAACTTTATTGTGACAGTGATTTCCATAAGGGGATACAAAAAAACTAAACACTCTTTGCCTCTCAGCATGTACCATCTCTACTGGTGTTCAGGGCTGCCAAGATTTATTTCTATACTCGCCCCATTTTCTCCTCCTTAAGACAACTTGGTTTTTCACGTTTGTTACTAAGGTTATGAGAATTTACCTCTTAGACAGTAAAAGGTAACTCAATGATTATTTTTGTGGCTACTCACTGATCTACTTCTGACTTAATGTTCCTAAAATCACATTTTATTATAGTTCAATCAGTTATTTCAAAAGAAATTGGACAGAACAAAGAAGAACAGTTTAAAAGGTGACCTTACCATTCCAACATGCCGATCAACATTAAAAAGTCGTTTATTGGAACCTTCTTCATAAAGTTTAGACAGCACTAATTTTTCTACTCCAAAGACAACACCATCTTTACATCTGATCCCAATAGCTGTACTGAAACAAAAAGAAAGTCAATTTTTTAAAACTAAAAACAGAATAAACAATAATTTTTTAAGAAATCACAAAACTAGGTAAAACATTTAAAAACTAGCAAGGGAAAGCAACCTAGACTATGAAAAATTAAATTTATATTAATGAATATCATGTGAAGCCCCCCAAAATCTAAAATATCAGTTGACAAAAATATTTTAAAAGTGCTAACAATACGTATAATATGGCACAGTGTATGTATAACATGATAGACATGTTATAAATTACTTTTCTATGAATAGTATATGTGGAAAGTGAATAATCTGGGTGGAAGGATTACGGGTTTTGGGTTTTGTTTTTTCAGTGCAAGGGATCAAACCAAGGATCTAGCATATGCTATCCAAATGCTCTACCACTGAGCTATATCCCCTGTTCATGATTTATTTTTCTTCTTCCTTTGGCTCATCTATTTATTCCAATTTTTCTGCAATCAACATGTACTAGAACTAGTAAGTATTAAAAAAAATAAAACTTACATGCTACAATGTTTAAGATAAAAAGATCTTAACTTCAAGTAAAAGATGGAGAAATCATGATGCTGTTGGAAAATTAAAATGTTAATTATTTTATTTATTTTTTTTGGTACCAGGGGTTGAAATCAGAGGCACTCAATCACTGGGCCACATCCCCAATCTATTTTTGTATTTTATTTGGAGACAGGATCTCATTAAGTTGCTTAGTGCCTCGCACTTGCTAAGGATGGATTTGAACTCATGATCCTCCTGTCTCAGCCTCACGAGCTGCTGGGATTACAGGTGTGCCCCACTTGCCCAGCTAAAATGTTAATTATTTTTATCCTTTTTAATAAAGGTAATTCTGATCAGGAAACTTAATTGGACAAATTAAAAACACTTGATTTTATAGTTTTTCTGTAAAATTATCTCAATTCCTCTATTTCCGATAATTGCATCACCAAGTTTTAATCCTTATGTTTTCATTTTTTATCCTTTATTCCCATATTGAGCTATTATTGATTTTTTTTCCTTCAAAATTTCTCACATGTCCACTCCTTTCTTACTAGCACTAGAATCCTTATAATTTCAGGCCTAGATTACAACATCTTTTCCACTTCTTTTTATGTTACATTCATTTTACGTAACATGAGCAGCCTAATATCTAGTCCTATTTTATTGTCATTATCATAATCTTCAAAAGTGGCCCATAACCTAAAAAGTGAGGAAACCTGTCAGTTACAGGTCTCTCAAAATCTGATCAAATTTCCAGGCATGGTGGTACATGCCTGTGATCCCAGCAACTTGGGAAACTGAGGCAGGTGGATCACTCGGTTCCAGGCCAGCCTCAGCAATTTAATCTCCAATAAAACACACATACACACACACACACACACACACACACA